TACGATACAAATATTCATTTATAAATTATTAAACAACAAAAAAACCAAAATATTTTTTTAATGTTTTATTTATTATGCAATTGAAAAAATTGTTTTATTATTTATAGGTATTTAAAAAAAAAAAATGTAATATTAATTTAATACTGATTAGTGATAACTATGTAGTTTGGCTAACAATTGCTCACAAAAAAATGTGTTTTCATTATTTAGTAAAATAAAGTTATAAGAATAAGTATTTATGAAAAGAAAACCATACAAGTATAATGCTATTTATTCAAACAGCTGTACGATTGAATAATCCTTCAGTTTTTGAAAATATTATTTTTTTAATAACTATATGTGCATTCATCAAGCTTGGATTCACGGGAGGGGGGATAAATGCAAACGCCCCCCTCAAACATTTTTAAATTAATAAATAATTAAATATTATAAAAAAATGACTTAATTTACATTGTTTCAAAATAAATGATTGATATTGTTTGGAATAAACTTTAAACTCAGTTTTTCAAGCCTAAAAAATATGATCTTATTTTCAATAATTTTATATTCAATTGTTTAAAAGTTTGAGATACAATCATATATAAAAACTCAATACGAGTATACAAACAATAATCGCCGGACAATCATTCAATTGAATACCATTAATAGTACTAAATGCCGCTTGTCAGGCACATTATGTATATTTTATATAACCACTATTCTTATATGTTATATGTGATGTTCATATCTTATTCTGATATTTTTCGTTAACACTGTTTCGTCACAGTGTTATACTGCCTGTCTCATTATGGTAAGTACCTTTTCAATAATCAATTCATTGTTTTAGTAATAAATAGGTCAATTTTTAATAATGTAAAGATAATGTTGTGTATCAATGCGTTATGTTAAATAAAATAGAAACTAGATAAAACCGTGTTGGCAGTGCATAATAGTATTGAATAAATTACATTTGAAAAAACTAAAATGTTAATGTATATATTTCGATTTATATATCTGTTCATTCAAATTAGAAAATTCCTTCATTTTAAATTTCTAGATCCACGCCTGATGTACATATACGTACTATACGTACTAATTACTTCATCACTTTAGTCGTTTTATTAGATGTAAAATTGGTACCAAAGTACCAAATAAGTATTTAAGTAACCTAACTAAACCTTACCAAATTAAACTAAATATTTGTATTGAAGTATTTACATACATGTATAGACTATATACACCTACTAGGGTGGCCAGATTAAATTGAATGAAAATAGAGTTAACTAATTCCAACTGACTTTGTGACCTGCAGAAATTACATTAGGTATTTAATCTGACCATTTTTTTTTAACTTTTAATTTTATAAAATGTATGTTATTTATGTGTGATTTTCACTATTGAACATAAATTATCGATAAACATTTATTAAGTAATATATTTTTATCGAGTTAAATACCGGGATATATTATGTTAATACTCATAACCTAGTAAAAACATCAAGTCTCAAAGAATTTCTTTTGCACAAGAGTTCTTTGATTTATTATACTATTATTAGATTAATACCTACTAAATGTTATGTTCTTCAAATTTAGGAATTGAAATTTATTATTATTTTGAATTAATACGTATTATGTAATTATTTACTAAAAATTAAAATTTATTATAGCCTATGATATTTATTAATTTTCAACATTTTGATTTTAATTATTGGTCGGAAAATGTTAAAACCTTAAATCTTAATCGTGTATAGAATATTGTAACTCTATATAGTACGAAATTTTCTTTTTATTCAGTTATATGGAAACCTACTTAAAACGGAAATTTTTATCGTTCTCGTGCAATTTCGCACAGGACAGATTTTACTGTAAATATTTTTAACATTTAATAAAAAATAAAAGCTATAACAATTCAATATTTTGAAATATATATAAACTTTTATTTGTTTACACAAGTTATCCAACTTTCAATCAACCATACAATTATACTAATAAGTAGAACTTAGAATTCATAGGAGCTAAAACAGTCAAAATATGCATGAAAAATTGTAAAATATGTATAAAAAGTATAAAATAATATGCAAAAAATCTTTTAAATTGAAAAAATACTATAAAATATCAATCGTGTACTGTTAATTTATTAACAAATAAAAATAAGCAATTTCTAAAATTTCCAAATTCTACTTAAAAGGATTAACATAAAATAAATAATATTAAAAATTTCATTGGAACAAATAATGATGATAAATATCATAGGTTTTAGCGCAAAAAAAAGTATAAATATAATTTGTGATTATTTTTTTTTTTATACATATTATATACATTTATTGTTTGTTATCTTAAATTACGTTTATAAATTCTGAGCGAAGTAATGAATGTATTTTACAACATGTGTTTTTTTTTTTTTGTGTATGTATACACAGTAAGTCGTTAAAATAATGCTTAGATTTTAAACTTTGAAGGTGGTTTTGAATAACAAACTATAGGTATCTAATTTGTATATTAAACAGGTCAAAATAAAAATGCTCAGAATTTTTCAAATAATCAAGAAAAATTAAAAAAAAAAAATTAAAAAGAAGTAGCCATTTTTACGAAAATCCCATTTTTGATATTGATTTTTTGGTTGAACTTGAAAAAGTTAGAAAATCATAAGCAATTTTCTTTTTATATCTAAGATAATTTGAAAATTTAGTACAAGATTTTTCAATTTATATTAAAAATTGTTTCTACCAAAAAAATCAATTCAATTTTTTATGAACGTTTAAAGTTTAAATGTTTTGAAATTTTAACCGTAAAATAGCTATTATTTATTCTCAAATGACTTGATATTATTTTGTTATTAAAAAATGATCAAAATTTTCATCAAATGTTTTTACAATAATTTTCTATATTATTTATTTATGTAATACAATTTTCAAAATATTTCAACTCATTATGAGTTTTTATAATTATTTTAAGTTCTGTTGGTTGTAATTGAGAGATTTACATTTTCCGATTTATCCAATAGACGTACAATCGTACCAGTATAGCCTAAATTCATGAAACAGATAAGTGAAACTGTGAAAGGCATTGATTTTAAAACCTACCTATTGACTATTACCTACGTATATTTCACTACCAGTGGTTATTTTATTTCCCTAAGGTCATAAATGAAACGAAGTTCACAAAAGTTTGACATTATAGATGAAATTTATTTATATATTATACTTTTAGTTTTATGATGTTTAAAATAATTTAAGCCACATTTCGTATACACTAAACAATAGTTATAAACTTTTAACTTCTAAACTGCACCTTGAATTTTGTAATTTTCTATAGCATAATTTAATACCACTGCTGCAGCAGTAATCAGAAATTCGATTCTAGTTCAAAAAAATGGAGAGGGTGTCAAAAGTAAAATTTCCAGTACTTTTATTAATATATTTATTTGAAAAAAAAAAACAAATTTTTCAACACTAATCCGATTTTAATTATTTTTTTTATAATTCAATGGGTGGGTTATGTTTTATTTTCACGTATTCAAAACAAGTGGAGGTATAGGTATCGAAGTACAGAAAAAAATTGCAACACTTTTTTTTCCACATAATATCAATTTATCGGTAAATTAAAAAATAACGTTTTATAGTTCTATCTCAATAGAAACAAAAATTATGAAATTACCTCAAGACAAAAAAGTAGGACATACTAAAGTAAATAAAAAAAATTATTTTAGAGGTGGTATAAATAGTAAAATTTAAAACTTCGTCGCCACTAAAGACCGAGTATTTTTCATTAAGTTCCACTTGGAAACCTAACCCTAGGAATAAAATTTCTTTGAAAAGACGCTTTTGTTTGAACAAATGACAAAAATTATCAAAATGCATTAAACGTTATAAATAAACTGCATTCTGTAATTGATGTCGTAGATATAGAATGGCTGATAGACACTGCATTGTGTAGAGAAGAATCATATTGATATGGCCGTTTATATTATTTAAGAACTGGTAAATAAACAAAAATATCTAAGAATGTAACCATTTGTTTAAGAATATTATCGGTTCAAGATATAAAGAAATAACTTAAAAAAAAGTTTTAAATGAAAAAAAATATACGATATTATTCTAAAATAACAAACAGGTTTATTATTGTTTCTTAAGGAATTTATTTAGGGAAGATCCTAAAAAAATGATTTAAAAAAAATTGTATAATAGCAAGTAATGTACCACTGAAGATTTAAACTTACTTGTAAAAGTTAATTTATTTTCACTTTTAAGTTTAGGATATTATTAATAACGATTTAATATTAATTATAGGTACTTAGTAAGTATGATACCTAATAATTAGCTGGTCTAAATCAGTGATTCTCAAACTGGTGGTCGTAAACAATTTTTTAGAATCACTAAATTTTTTTAATTTTCATCATGATAATCATTGTTAAGAATTGTTTTTGGTAACAATTGAAATTGCTAATAGAAATTTACAATATAAAATTCGAGAAATACTTCTAAATTTAGTTATAAAGAAAAATCGACGACACGTGTTTTTATCAGTGTTTTGTTAATAATTATTATATAAGTGCCAGTTGCTAGTTGAACACCAAGAGTCAGGAGAAGCGAATTATATGCTTATAACTTTTTACGTGATAATTAAGTTTTATATATACCCGAAGGAGCTTCGAAATTATTGAAATCATCTTCAGAAATTTCAAACAATATCGATTTATATTTTACTGAAAAATAATCAAAATGACCACTTAAAAATGTAAGACTTATATCAATTTTAAAGTTATGTTGACTATGGGTTTACTTATTTACATACAAATAATATAGATTTACCTTAACGTACTATAGGTACGTAGTTTAGTGTTGGCCAATACATCTCTAAAACCTAATATACATTTGTGCGTCATCTTGAAACAAATGATTTTTATTACAAAAATCGAAGTAAAGATAGTTTTTTTTTAAGAAATTTACAGGAATTTAAAGGAAATAAAAATAATTATCAAATCTTTTATTACAAAGGATAAAATGTTCTTAGCGTTTGTATTTAGTCGATATTCATAGCTAAATCTAAAAAAGCATATTATACGTACAAATGACAAAGAATTATTGAAACTTTACATGATAGATATTTGTTCCGAGTTGTCCAGTAATGAATATGTAGCTAAAATAAAGAATATAGGTACCTACCTATGTCTAATGATATTCTAAACAAAATATAAATTTTATGGACAGTGATATTGAAAATCAAACAATTCAAAAAATAAAAATCGATATCTTGTATGAAATTCAAATCGACGAATCTACAAATATTATTAATGAAACAATTTATTATTAATTTATTTGTATATTACTATATTAGATATTATATAGATATACTGACTTGATTGACACAAATGAAAAGTTTTTATGTTGTTTAAATTTACCATAATTTTGTACATTTGGAGAAATTTTAAGTCATATTTTAGATTATTTTGACAAAAATAATTAAGCTTTTCTTACATGTATTGGTATACTCGTGTATGCACTGACGGCGATGCAGCCACGACGAGAAAGTTTAATGGTTTTATACTCTTATAACATGAATTAAATAAATCTCTCACGAGGATATTTTTTCAATTCATTGTTTCATTCATAGGGAAAAATTAGCGCTAAAGATATGGGTGAAAGTTTATGTGATACTAAATACTTTGAATAAATGCATAAAAATTATAAATTTTATACAAACTTAGCTTATTTTTCTGATTTTTTTCCTGTTCTTGATGACATAAATATGAGTTTACAAGGGCCATTTAATTAGGTACTTATTTTTTTACATCAAACAATAAAATAGAAATAACAGAAGCATTTCTAAATAAAATTGAGCTTTGGAAAAATAGAGTAAAAAGTGTATGTTTAATATGTTCCTTTCTTTTTTTATACGACACAAGAAAAAATATTGAATAAAAATGAAATAAATAAAATGCAAAATATTATTAAAATTAATTTATAAAACTGAAAGTAAAATTTCACAAATATTTTGATCTAATGAGAGAGATTTATTCAAACAATTTATGGGTTATCAATCCATTTATAAAATTAGAAAAAAATTTATTATCATCAAATGAAGAAAAATTAATAGAGTTATTTCAGACAAAGAATTGGAATAGATTTTTAATAGTATTAAAAATATAGGTTAATTTTGGATTAAAATTCTTAATCAGTATCCCGCATAAAATAACGAGATTTTAAAAAAGTCGATTACTTTTTCAACTGTGTGTATATTTATGCGAAACTGGATTTTCAACGATGACTACTATTAAAAATAAATTAAGGGATCGGCTGGATGTACTTATATTACCAACTATGAAAATGAGCTTAACCAAATATTTTGAACCAAGGATTGACTAAATAATTTCTTACTAACAACAGCATATTAATCATTAAATTTAAATAATGTTTACGTATAATATAAAATGTTTAGTTTATTCAAAAAAAAATATTTTAGATAAATTTATCATTATGGATTTTAAACGTCAGTACAATAAATATTAAATTTTTCAAGTACTAATTATTTTAATTTTAATACAATAATAATCATATTAATTTGTAATTATTTTTTAATGTTATCATAATAAAAGAAACACTCAAATTCTTGGAGACAATATGGTGGTGAAGAGGAGGAGAGGCTCAAAAAGATTGAGAACCGTTGGTCTATGTGATAATAATATAATGTGGGGTTCGTGGAAAAAAGTAATTATACTTATGTTCTTCCTAGCAGTACCGAACTCAGAAACAATAATATAATATGGTTACAGCTTCACCTTTAGATGGTTAAACAATTTTAAGTGGACGATGTTTATTAGTATAGTTACTAGTATATTATCGAGACATATTTGTCTAGCATGTAATTTTGAGATAAATCGGTGCAGAGAGGTACTAAAATGTCGGATAAATGGGTTGTCATCAAAAACACGGATAGCAATAAAGCTATGACAAGAGGAGATTCTAGTAAGTCTTAAATAATGGCATTGCCACATTGGACACGTCTTAAGTTGACAAATCGAGACATTTTATTAACTTAACAAAATTAAAAATAAATAATTTTATAGCCACCTAGGTCATACACTGTGACCATGCAATTTGCAACAGACAGTTCTAAATAATAGTAAAACATTTAGCCAAAAATCCATCATACTATAATAGTTATAATACCTAACTATTGTTGAATCATTAAGTTATACAAACTACATAATTTAATTGTCACTTTGTGAATTGTATCATTCAATAAGAAGGATTAACATCTGTAAATATTAGATTGTCCATGTATTTAAACGTTTACAAAGAAAGTAAAGCGGTGAGATGACACATTACCATCTCCGGTGTGGCAGTTATGGCCATAAACTATAAAGCAGTAGCATTGTAGCTTTAGTAATATTATGTGTAATGCAGTTTTGAAGGCAGTCGAGATACGCGACCTAATCCTGATTGTGTACATTAGTCAGTTGTATTATTGCGTTTATTATTATTGAATGTATTAAAATTCGCTTACTAATTTAACTTAAACGAGTCTGGAATACTTTATTAATCTCTAATCTCTACCACTTAACACTTATTATTTGTTCCACAGAGGCATTTGCTAAGAGCTATACTTAATTAGATTACCTTGGAAAATTGCACGTTTGTTGATACTTGATTAATTTAACTAAGGCATATATTAATTTACTAATTTTTTCATTTAAAATAGTTGTCTAAACATCATGATTAAAATACTTGTACCTAGGTATATAGTAAATTTCCACCTTCATGAATGGTGTAGTTTTAACCGGTACGCGTCCGCATGCATAATTAGTGTGTAATGAATGTTCTACGTTAATAGTCATTACTTTCAGTTTTCTCAAAACGGTATAAGATGATTATATTACCTGTCAAACAAAAAATCTTTCTAACGTTACAATACAATTAAAATTTAAAATCAGGTAACATATTTTTGGTGGACAATTCGGTCAAAATACTATATTTTTACATAGATAACGCAATACTCAACTGGATTTCTTCACTGAATTAACTATGTTATTAATGAATATCTATTGGTTTTCGCCAAGAATGAGATTTTCAATTATTTTAAATTTACAGTTATAAGTCCATGGTTTGTATAACTTTTAAAAATTAATTTTTTTCTAGGTCAGAATTAAAAAGATATATATTATTAGACAATTGGATAGTTATTGTATATCATATTTTTTTTTTGTTTAAAATTCTGAAGATTTTCAATTTAGTTAAATTAAAAGTTAATTAGGAAAACGAATAACATAAATGTTTATTTTTATCTACCTAACATACAAATTTAAAACAGCATTTTCTTGCATTATTATCAACATTTTATACTCGGTGACAATTATACAGAAATAACGATAAACTATACCATTCCCTATGTAACATATTATTGGATAAAATGAAAATAATTCGGTATATACCATTATCATCTTGAAGTAATTCTTTGGATATAAGATATACAACCATGACAACACGTCCAAATATTTATATTTCTTTGAAGACATACTAGCAGTGGCGGTTCTGGCATTAAATTTTAGAGGAGGCAACATTTTGTAACCCAGGCTAACCCATGGTGGGCTTTGCTCCCCCTCCCCCTTCATCAACAACATTTTAAAAATATTAATTTTTTTTAATTAAAAAATACATTTATAATAATAATTAATAACAATAACATTTTTTTAATGGACTAGGATATTTTTATTCTTTCTAGTATCATACAAATAAAACAAATTATAGAAAATATACTTAATAATACCTAATATACATAAAATCAAGAAGTAAATATTTTATTATACATAATAACAAACAGGTACAATAGGATTAATAAAATAGCAAAATTTGTAATGAGGAAAATAAACAGTTAATATTGTTTTTATTATGTTTTATACATTAAATTAATATTAATAACTAGCATAAATATTTATAATATCATCATAAAATGGTTCATTTTGTTTAAGTTGCTGAGTTAGTAACTTTTCAATAGATATTGTAGAGAGACAGCTCAAGCGTTGTTGTGAGGTACTGTTTCTTAAATAGGTTTTAATTCTTTTTAAACAAGAAAAGCTTCTTTCAACAGAAACACTTGTTGACGGAATGGTCAAAATTAACACAAATAGTTTATATGCTTCAGGCATAACATCCTTTATACCACTTTTTTCAAATATTTTAACCAAGTCATAAATATGTTGTAGATTTTGATACTTGTCATCGTTGTATAAAACTTCTAATTCTACTTTTAATTTTTTTTCATCATGGAATATATCAGAATATGTTCTTTTTAGATTTTTAAAAGCAATGATGGGAAATTGGTTAGAATATTCTTTGAATTTTGATACATCAGCCAATTGTAAGAATAACAATCTATCTGTATCATTAAACCTTGTACGCAATTGCATAAGAATACTATCTATTATTTCATAAAATAGAATTTTAAAATTTATTTCAGTGTTTGAACTATTTCTTTTAGCTGTTGGAAACTTTGTTAGGGTAACTGCTTTACTAAAAAAATTTGAAAACTCTGTTTCATTCCTCTTTTTCTGTATAAGATCACAAGTTATATTAATTTTTCTGAGACAATATTCAATATCAAAAGATTTATTCTGTAATGTGTTAAATAAATTGTCAGTAATTAAAAATATGTCACTAAATATAAGTGCTAGGAATGCAAATTCAAAAGATTTTAAATTTTTAGTATGTCCTATAGCACCACAAATAGATTCTGCGGAGGAATTAGGATTATTAATTATAGTTTCAAAAACTGTTTGAAATTTGGACCATTCATTAACCAATAAATGTAAAATTTTTGATCTTGATGACCATCTGGTTTGAACAAATTGGGGAACACGTTTTCCAATAAGTTCATCAGCAACATTAGTACGGGATGTAGAGTTGTGAAAGTAGGCAGATATACCAGTCATATTAGCAAAGAATATGCGACATTTGTCATTTAAACTACACCCATGTTGCAAAACCAAATTCAATCTATGTGCTAGACAGTGAGTGAATAATGCATTAGGTGCAATAGCTTTGATTCTGGCTTGTAAACCCGTTATGTTGCCTGCCATGACACTAGCACCGTCATAACATTGACCAATTAACTTTTGTTGAATATTAAAATCTTGTAGAATAGTATTAATTAAATTAAACAACCCTTCTGCAGTCCGATCTTCACTAACATTATGAAATCCAAAAAAACGCTCAACTAATTCAGATTTTTTAGTGACATATCTTAAAATAACAGAACACTGTGTTTTTTGGGTAATATCAGTTGTATCATCAATTTGAATAGAATAAAATATACTATCTCTAACTTCTTGTTTAGTATGATTTGACAAATATTCAGAAATACAAAAAATTAAATCATTTTGAATGATTTTTGATGTACCAGAAAACTTATTTTGAATAGTTTTATAATGATTTTGAATTTCTAATGAGAATCTACTAAAAAACATTTCAAATAACTCTTTGTAATTACCTTTATTTAAGGAACTATTACTTTCGTCATGCCCACGTAAAGCTAACTCTTGTTTGGACAAATATAATACTAAATCAATCAAATGCTCCATAAATAGCCGATTTAGTCTAACATTTTCATTGTAATTTTTCTTAAACAATTTACCATGCTCCTTAAGTGTATCTACAACAGTGACTGTATTGCTTTCCAATTTTTTTAAGCTGAAATTATTATGGACATGATCTTTTGAAGATTCATGTCTTTGAATGCTTCTAGACAGATTTTTATAGTCATTGTAACCTTCTGTAACCCAAACAGACTTTGTTTGACTGAACAACAAACATGGCCAACAAAATAACTTTTGTAGATAATGACTACCACACAACCATGAATGTTTACCATACACATTTGAATTAAATGATCTACTAAATACTTTAGAACCTATCCTGTCAGTGGACAAACATGTAAGATGAGGAGTTAATTTACCTTGCATAAGTAAATCATTTTTATCAAGTGTATTCCAACGCCTATATGGAGTTTCTTGTAACAAGACAACTGGATCGTACAAAGGATTCATTATAACAGATATAAAATATTAGAATGTGAAATTGTTATTGAAATATAAACGATTCTATTTGCATTTAACTAAGTTAGTAAGTTACACAAGTCAGTAGTCACTTAGTCGTAACTACAAATCAAAATTATTATGATTTGTGACAATGACATATTATAAAATATTTAGTGATATGTGGCATGTTGATAATCTATTATCTAATAATCTAAGACCGCATCATAAAGTAATAAGTAATGATACTCTATGGACCGTATTGACACGAGACACAGAATAGATTAAATATAAACTATTCTATGGTATTGATAAATATTAAATGATAATATCTAATATCAAATTGATTAACAATATTATCAATTTACCGCTTAACAGTGACCATAACTTCAGCGGTGAGGGTTACTAACCGGTCGTACCTATAACGGAGTTTATTAAAAACATTGCCTCCGATCGAGGGCTGCGCATGCGCAGCTTTAACTATTTTGTGTTTGTGTACGTGTGTATTTAATATGTACACGACTGTACCCCAGGAGGCAGCGAATATCAGTTGCTCCGCCGCGGAGTGTAATATCAAAGTTCCTATTACTTATTATGTTTTATTTGTATGTACATTGTACGCGCCTGCGCATAAAGTAATCGGTTTCTGAGATTGCTGTTGCCCGTGGAATATGCTGCATTGTAGCGGCGGCGCGGCGCAGCGCCCAGCGGTTCTCTCTTCCGGCGGGTGGAAATCACTATTTTGCAGAGTTGTTTTTATCAATTCATCAATTTTTTTTTTTTTACAAAATTGTTATACATTTTGTATTTTTTTTTACATAAATTTTCTTAATTATTATGAATTTAGATCGAGTTTGATAAATCATGTATTCATCAATTAAAAATGAATAATTCTACATTTTCCCCTTAATTTTCAAGGGAGGCGGTGCCTCCCTTGCCTCCCCCCCAAAACCGCCACTGCATACTAGTATTATTATCAATGAAAATCTTAAATAATAATAGGTACATCATAACTTAATTTCAATAATCTGTGTTAAACTATAAGGAGTAGTCAGCAATACAATTTAGCGCTGATTAAATTTATTAACAGAAAAAAAAATGAATAGGTTTACTTTGAAAGTAACTTTTTTGGCTGGTTAGTGCCTAGCTTTAGGTTAATTTAAGTATTTAAATGTTGTTCATATAGATTACTTATTTATTTGACTTTTTCTTCAATGTTTTCAATTTTTATTGCATTATAACATTTTTCAAAGACATTTTACAATTATTGTTTATGGATAGTAAATAATTAAATATAATAAGTAATAATAATTATAATATATATCAAAACAATAATATTATCCTGACGTAAATATAAATACAAATAGTTTTATTAATTAAAAAACATAGATACAAGTATTATATACACATAATTTAATCAATTTCCTGAATGTGACGCTTCATATATTTAAAATAATAATATGATAAATATGATAATTACACAGCTTATGTATTTAAATTTTCAATTCAACTCCACAGATAAAACAATAAGACTAAAACGATATTATTTTATCAAATTATATCATACATTATAATAGACCCAAGGCAATGCATAGCTCCCTTCTGGCTATTCAACTATTAACAAATAAATAATCAGAAAAATATTCACAGTTTAATACTAGGATACATTTCTAAAAAAGAAATAAAAATTCAAAATGCACCTTGTTTCGTTTATATATCATACACAATGTACATTTTTCTTTTTAGTCAAGTTAGTTAAGTCTTGGAATCAAAAATGTCGGCTTAATGCAATAATAAAATACCAAAATTATTGTTATACTATGCTAAGAACAGCATATCATAACAATATTAATTGTATTTAAATTTTACTAATTATTGTTTATAAGATTAATAATATACACAAAATTATGAACATTTATATGCATATATATTAGGAAATTATTAAACCATAACATCAAATAAGTTATGGTTAATTTCAAGTTCATAATTCCACAAGCGATACATAATTGTAACCGGACATTAACACTTATTTTGGGTAATACAAGGGATGTCTGTTCTAAACGTGTTATAAGTAATTAAGTGTTAAATCAGATTAAATTATTAAAATTAAAATAATTACATTAATATCTTAACTTAAACAAAATTGAGTATGAATAATAAGTAATAGTTACAACGTGAAAAATATATATTTATAATAGTATTAAACACATACTTATTATGAAATGAAACGTTGTACGTACATCTTAAAAGAATAAAATAAAAATGAGATTTCAAATAGGAGTATGTTCAGTGTTTCACAGTGATTATTTCTTAATTTTTTTTGTCTATATTATTAATCTTTGATTTTCATAAATACATAATATTAGTATAAATATGAAAAAAATGAATAAAATGTTTAATTTGATCTTACTTTATTTATTTATTAGATAAATAATTTAATTATTTTAGAGAAAGCATTGTTTTTTGCTACATAAATCATAGATTTGTTTTATTTATTCATTTAACACATTGTGTATTACTATGTAAAGAAATTAAATTTATATGTGATAAAAAATGAATATTTATAATTATGAAATTCTGATTAAAAATCGGTCAATTCATTTTTATGTATACAGCTATATAAAAATAAAATTAATCTAGGTTATAATTTATTTTATTTAGTGCAATTGTATCATATGATCTTTATTGTAACTGTATTCATAAAAATAAAAATGCCTGAAATTATTTTTTAGTAACAGAAAGATATGTTAGTTAGGTGTAATAATTTTGAATTTTCACATAAGTAATAATGTATTATTTAATGATGAATAGTTTGTCATTTTAGTCCCCATAAGTAATAATTTTATACAAATAATAGCTAAAATGTAAGGTAACAAACATTTGAAAAAAAAAAAACAATTTTAACAACATAACTATCGAAATAATACATTGAATGAATTGAACACTAACAAGGTTTTACAAAAAAAAAAAAAAAATGCTATGGGTATGCAAGTCGAAAACAATAACAAAATAAGACAATCTAATGAACCATAAAACATTGACCAAAAACACGCGCACACAAGATAAAAATAAGGAACGAAATTGAGCCAAATCACATCATAATATTAGTTGTATACAATTTGTGTGTTATCCTTTGGCACGTTTTGTTCTAAGCTTAAAATATGTCTTACAGATTTTATATTATGTACTTTAACATTATTAGCCATGTTACAGAGAATATTACAGTACACACATTATATTACTTCAATGAAAGTTGAAGAGAACTGGGAAAAATAATTTATATATTGCATTATTAATTTTAAATAATGTATATAGGAATTGTATTAAAGGTGGTATAATGCATTGTTATTATGTATCAAACATAAAATTCAACAAAAGAAATTTTTAGGGATCATATATTCATAAAATTGTAAAATTAAAATTCAATAATTATTAAAAAAAAACAAACAAAATATAATTGTAACATATTTTAAGTGCTATTGAAATAATTGGTATAATAATAATAATCATAATAATAAAAACAAATTAAATATAATTTTACTACAAAGCAAATTAAAATATCAAGTCTACTCTCATAAATGTTTCTTTAAATAATTAAATATATATATATAATAAGTATGTATATATATTCTATAAGTATAACAAAGAACAAAGAAAAAATATAATAGGGATAGTTTTGTTATTTTCGAAAAATGGTAACGGAGAAAATAATAAATGAATAGAGATTAGAGAAGATTCATTTTGGTATTAATATAAATGTACATTAAATATTTTTTATCCATTATTACATTTGATACGTTAATATGGTTTAACAATTTTAATTTTTTTTTATTAACATTTATTTCTAATGAAGATTTTATATATATGAAAACAAAGAGAAAATTAATAAGAGTATTAATAATTAGATAAATAGAACTGAAAATGTGATTGAATTTTTTTTTCTATCAATCAATTTGTAAAATCAAGTTTTTTTAATTTAGATGGATAAAAATTATGGGGGAGGAGGGCTAAAATTCCCACAGGGTGGTAGTTAGGTCCCCAAAGCCCCCTATATACACTCATGCATCATACTCTCATTTAATTACAGATATTTTTTAGAAGTCATTAATAAATTGGTTTTAAATACAACACTATGTTTTAACAAAATCTTTAAAAATTCAATAGAAAATTGGGTAATATTTTTCATTTTAGCACATTTAAAATCAAATTATGTTCATTCAATAAGCAAAATGTCTTCTCATTATAGATGGTATATATACTACTCTTACTATGCTATTATATTTGCTCATCTTATGTTATTAATTAATTTTTATTTTATAATATACACTTAAAATTCTACTAATGGTGTAAACTAAAACATAGAAATCGAATGAAAAAGTGTTAAATAAATAATAACTGACATACACGATCTATGCAGTTTCAGAATGCGAATACATAACATTATACTTATTAATTAAATATAGATCTTAGAAGTTGTTATTTTCCTAAGTTAATTAAATAATATATAATTACAAAAAGTGTGATTGGTTTTAAGAATTTCGCAATAATATTTTCAGATGAAACTGGGTATTTGCTGGGGTATTTATTTTGAAATAAAAAATTCTTGTACATTATAAAATTATTTAAAAGTGAAACAGTTGTGAAACACAGTGATTATTGTATCAAATTTTTATTATGATTTATTACATACATTTATCAACTTCAGAAGTTCCATTTTTTTTTTTTTTTTGGAATGTCCAATCTAAGTTAAATTTATCAATTTTATGTATTCTATCTCTAAAACATTTTATTATTTATAAATATTATCATGAATTTGGCGGTTCTTGGACCAATATAATCTATACGAACCGGAGGTAACTGATTTAATTGCACAAACCCAGTCAAAATGTATATAATAATCACAATACTTTCGGACACATCATAAATCAACTGATAGGAACCCACGAACCATTTGAACAAATAAAATACCAATGTACATGAAAACAAAAAATACTTAGGAGGATAAATATTGGTAACGTGAAAATATTGTATTACTCTAATAATATAACAATAATATTGGTTGAGCAAAAAGATGACATTGAACAAATTCGAGTTAAAATCGTAAAATTACGATATTGCCAAACAAATAGAGAATAGTTTTATTAACAGATTATTTTTTTTTTTTAAAGGTAGAATTTTCATAAAAAGAGAAAAAATATAATTTATTATAAGATTCTAATGTGCCATTGTATACGAAGTTAGTACATTTAATACTCTGTGGTAACTTCGGCGTATTATTTTACTCAAATTTATTAAAAAAAAAAAATGTTAAAATAAACTAAGAGTATTTACATTTTATTAAATCGAATTCAGGATATGAAAAAAGTAATATGATTAATAAAAGATAAATATCATGAGAGAAAATAACTCAAACTATTCTCATAGTTGCATACAAGTCGTCAATGAACCGTTCCCTGAATATATAACCAAGTATTATAATATTTACAAATAATATTATTATAAACAATTGATAAGAGATTAATACAATGCGATGGTTGAAAAAATATCAGAGAAAATATCGCAGTCTTTTTACAGCGTTTCCGCGAGTTTAATAGTTACCACCACCATATCCAATATCCATTCGGTTTACTGACAAATACCCACCACTTGATTGGATATAAGGTGAAACTCCATTACCACTATTGTTATTACCATATGACATGGAGTTTTGAGAGGGATATGGGAAATTTGGTGTTGGCATGTGTATGTTATGTGTGTTATGCGAATATCCATTTCCAGGTGGTCCTAATCCCCCATTAAATTGCATTGAGCTGGCATATTGATTGTTGTATGGCTGTTGATACTGTTGCTGTAGTCTATCCATGTCCATCATAACACCACCTGAATGATGATGATTATAATTTATTGTAGGCGGTGGCGGTGGATACGATGAAGATGTAAGGTTGCTAACAGAGAATGTTGACGGTTGAGACATTGATGCTTGTTGATGGTGATGATTTGCCCCATTTGTTAACGAACTTACTGAAAAATTATTCATATTTCCTTGGGGCGCACAAGGCGATGACGAATAAGAATAATTTAATGAGGGAGAACATGAGTAATCATTAGGCATGTAACCTGAATTTGATTCATCCATATACTGATGATGATGATGATGATGTCCACTATGCTGTACATCACTATCATTCATGTTAGGAATTTGTTCAACCAAAGATTCTAAGCCTGATAAGCTTTTAGCAGTAACATCTTGATTATTTGTTAACTTTTGTTGATGTGGATGTTGTTGTTGCTGCTGCTGCTGCTGCTGTTGTTGTTGTTGTTGTTGTTGTTGTGGATATCCAGTTGGTGGTGGAGGATATACAGGAGATTCTGCTGGAGGATAGGCTGGAGATCCTGCTACAGACTCTACATTGCCTGAATATTCATCATATCCATGTGATTGAGGATAATGATGCATATCCATTTTTGTATTAGTTTTTTGTGGTTGCTGAGGTCCACCGACGGAATTATTAAATTGACATTCCATTTGTGATGGTCTAGAATGTTGGTCAACTCCAATAAGATCTTCTTTGGTTACACCGCCACTGTGTTGACTACTGTGAGGACTATTATCTTCGGCCAGCAGACTTGCTGGTGGCTCGAAATCAGGTGGACCCAAACTGGGCGAGGCTGGAGATCGTGATCCTAAATTATGTTCTGAAGAGATAGCTGCACTGATTTCTGAAGACAAATCAGAATGTGTGAAGGATGGAGCTTGTGGCGACTGAGAATACCTATGTTGTTGCGATTGAATTGGCGAACGGTGATGGTGAAAATTTGGATTGTTGTTTCCGCCACTGCTACCTCCGCCACCACCACTTCCACCACCACCACCACCACCACCACTGTTAGATATAGGTGAATGTGAAGAGCTTTGGTTGTTATATATATTATTTATAACATTATTTCCTCCATATAACTGAGACAAGTTCATTGGAGATTGAATTGGCGGAGAAAAACAATTTGATAATTGTGTTGATGGGTTACTGTGTTCACAAGATAAAACGGGTGGTACAACATTATTTGTTGGCGGTAACTGATTTGGATCAGGCTTAATTTTTTTTGGTCTGCCTCTTTTCTTTTTAGGCATTCCTTCTCGTTCATCCACTACCTGAGGTTTAGGACGCTTAACTTTCACTTCTTCAGGTGCTCCATCTTTAGTTTTTATTTTCTTTGGTCTCCCACGTTTCTTCTTTTGCACTACAGGTGGTTCATCCTTAATATCAGCAATATTTTCTATTGTTTCTTGGTTTTCAACTACAGAATTGTAATTATTGAAATACACAGATGGCACTTCATCTTTAGGTTCTTCTTTGATGTCTGGCTCATAATAATTTTTTAATTTAGTAAATGAGAATACCACTTCACTGTCATCAATTTCAGCCACCAGACCATTTAAATAATCTCGAAACTTCTTTAATGCAGCATAAAATGGTACTTTATCAGCTGCTCGTGGTAATTGTGCACATCGGGCACTAGATGATGGCATTACCCACATATACTATAAAAATGGAAAAAAAATGTATTAATTAATGTATGTCAAGAGAAAACATTAAAAATATAAAATATGTTCAAATGGAATATAATTAATTTTTAATTATTAAAGTTTACTTCAATAAATTAAGTTACAATATTCATAGTTGTATAAATGTAAATATATTTTTACAAAGTATTGGTAAATTTTTTTTTAACGCTTTATTTTACCTATCGACATGAAACAATTGGAACCTTATCGATAATACAATATAATTTACTAAAAGCATAGTACATTATACAATAACAATGTGGACGACATCACCAATGCTAATATCATGTCCAGTACTGATGATGGCGACATGCAAAGTTACTGAAATAAGAAGTATCTAATTATTTTTTCATACTAATTTAAAATTATTTTTGTCAAAATTATGTTTAAGGTGTTGCAAAGAAATATTTTAGTTATTAACATGAAAGCATAATACACAGTATAAGGACCCTTGAGCTAGCATATCTTAATAATAAACTGAGAATTAATTAATTCAGGAAAATAAATTATAAACCTATTATTAAAAAAAAAAAAGAAACATACATTCAAAATAAAGTTAACAAAGACATGATATAAAAATTAAATATTAATAATAAATAAAAGTTTACCGTATTTGTTCCATCTACAAGTTCTGGTTGACGACCAAATGTGAAATCTTTTTTCCCAGAAAACACTTCAAAAATAAGTTTTCCATTAAATACTGCAATTTTTGGTTTAAATCGTTGTAGCTTTTCAAGAAGAATTTGACTTCCTATAATGAAAAAATAAAATATAATTGTTAAATTTAATTAAAGAATATTTGAATTCTTATTTAATTTCTACTGCTTGTTGTTGAAAAAGTATATAAGAATTATAGGTACATAAAAAAAATATGAATGAAATATTAACAATTTTTGATTAATAAACATAACATTGATAGTCATATAAATTGTTTTAGTGAACTGGGTATCAAATGGATTAATTTTATTTTTTATTTTTCTCACACTGAAATTTTTATGAGGCACCTATCCCAATTAATAATTTCAGGAAAAAATAATTATCTTCGTTGTTAACTTTGTAAAAATATTTTTAATATAAATGATTTTATAAACACCAATATATATAAATAAACATTTTTAATAGGTATAATAAAGATAATTGAAAGATAAACAAATAGAATAAAATAATATAAATAATAAAGTGGATTATTGATTTTAAATCAATCTGTATAATTTCCAAAAAATACTTATTAATATTATATTTAGTTCTTTACAATTATAAAAACACGAGGTATTCTATTTCGAATTAAAAAAAAAATAGTAAAAGATATATGTTAATTGAGATAATATAATATTGTGTAGTGAATGATAACTTACAATATTTAATATCTAAACATTTTAAATGATACAATTAAATAAATATAGAAAACAAACCTTCTTTAATTTCTTTTCTTGTGAGATCAGCACTACCTTTTGTAGCTCGCTCCACCATATTGGTAAAACCTATACCATTTTGAAGTAATTTATAATCATCATCAGCAGTCATAGGTTCTGGTGTAAGACCAGATAGGTATAAACATTTCCCTATAAATGTAAAATAAAATAAATTAGTAATAAAGTGTACAAAAATATCAATAAACTAAATACATTATCCATAGTTTATTATGTAAAAAATTAAACTTATTTAAAATAGTATATATTTACTAACAGAAATGATTTCCAGGACCTGCATAATGATGACCTTTATAAGCAGCAAACAAACCAGGATTGATACCAATCTAAAAAAAGTGCCAATTCAATTAAGTAATTAACTTTATACTTTTTTCTTACATAAAACTGTTTTAAATATTTTTAAGTTCTATAAAACAAACAACAGTAATAAAACTTTAAATTTAAAAAGACAAAATAATTATAATAATAATTATACAAATTTTAATAATCTAATGATAATATAAAAAATTAAGTATATCTCATCACAAAATTGAATATATAATGTTATAACAGTCAAAGTATATTAAACTCACAATCACAATATCCAAATTATTAGTTAGATGATCAGGTAAAGTGCGCTTTGATACCTCTTCTTCAGGCATGCCATTAAAACGGTCATGTTTTTTTCTTTCTTTGTAGACCTTGGAAGGATTTGTCAATAATTTATCTTTTGGCAACATATGTTGCATTAACCCAAACGCTTGATCAGGATTTAAGCATTGCAAACTAAACATAAATTGTATGTCTTAAATATACATTTGATTATGATAAAAAATAATATTAATACATATCATAGATTAGTTTACCTCATCTGATCCTCAGGTTTAAATTTTTTCTTTCTGCCTCGCTTCTTTGGCATGTGTTGTAAAATCATTTCTTCGGTGTATTGCAAGTTTTGTTGGCCATGATGCTGCATTTCTTCATCAACAAAACTATATGGATCATCAGGCATTTCATACTTAATTTGGTGTTGTTGCATGTTGTTCATTTGATGATGATGATGAGCATGACCATGGTGATGTGGATGCATGTGTGTATTCATATGTTGTTGTTGTTGATGATGATGCATTGGGGGTAACTGATTCATAATATTATTATGATGCTGAGCTGCTGCGGCTGCAGCAGTAGCTGCTGCAACTGCTACTGCGGCAGAATGTTTTGCTGCAGCTTGTTCAGCATCGGTACCACCACCACTTGTTTCATATCCATCATCCGCACACGCAGATTCTTGTTTTACAGAAGATGCTGGCTGAGGTCCATTGTTAACAACATCACAGTTACCATAATTATTAGACCTGCACATATTTTAAAATCAACCAATTAATTACATTATTATGAATAGATACAAGGTGAAAATTAATTGATTGCAAGAATCAAGTAAGTCAATAGAATGAGTACATTGAATTTGTGTGATTATTTTAATTTAAATTGAATAGTAAATCATAACATTAAAAAAATATCCTTGAATAAGAATTGGTCATTTTATATAAATTTTACTTAGGTTTAAAAAAATAGTTTTTACATTTTAAGTATATTAAAATGCGATTAAAGGTTAATTTACTATAAAGTGTGTTTAACTGTTAACTATGGAAAAATGATATATATTTAAAAAAACACATTTGCTATTATTTAAAAAATTCAAGTCATAGAAAAACAATAAAATTGTTACATATATACATATATAATTTAAATGACGTATTACATAATATGTTATCATTTACTACAAAGATTGAGTTATAAATACAAGTGTCCAATTATTTTGTAGAATACCTAGAAATAGTTTTAATACATTGTGAACATCATGAACTAGGTTTAACCTAAAAAATAAAAGTTAAATGTACATACCTACACTCTAATAATGTTATGTAATAGTACTCAACGACAATAACTATTAATACGATACATTCGCATTGAATCCAATATTTCGTTATTATAAAAATTATTCTATAAAAATATTGATGACATTGTTGTCTAAATTCGTATATTTAGTATTATAATTTAGTGCCTACCACACCAATACAAAAAAAAATAAAATAAAAATAAATACATTAAAAAAAAACGTAAATTTTGCATTAAAAGGGGACGAATTAAATATTGAAACATAACTTAATGAATAAATAATAAGATGAAAAAATACGGTCATATTGAAAACGAGAATTGAATACATTATTGCTGGTAGGTAGGTGTTGACCGTGTGTTGTATTATTTCGAGAACATTTTGATGGAGGAACGCGTAATAATATGCGTCGTATTACTCAGTCGTTTAGAGAATGTACCTAACAATGATCATCATAAACACGTATTAAGTATATTTTTTTATTTAAAAGTTCATACCCACGGTTGATTATATAACATTATGGAATGGACTCTAGCCCAGCATTAGCTTTGCAGTAAAATGATAGCTTTCCGTTCACACATCGAAAGATAACTTTCATGTTATAGGTCACGAGGAAAAATGGTTTATTTTTATTGTTTTAGTACTTCACATTAGACATTTTATGAATAATATTAAGACTCACAGACTCTCGTCAAAACGAGTGGAATAATAAACAACGATTCAAGTTCCAAATACAGTATTGCTGGTGTACATGACATATAATGAGAGGATTTTGTACAGTAGGCTGATGTTTCTATCTACGAAACCGACTATATCAATTTCTAAAGTAATAATATGCATAGTTGAGGTACAGGCTTTAGATACTCTACGCACTTAACCACTGTACACGAATTGCAACCCAATATAAAAACATAATATTCTTTCCCATTTTTACACTAAGACCAATAAACCACAACTTTTTACTAAATCGATAAAGTATTGTCAGCAAAGTAATTCTAGATGATTCGATAGCGCGATATTATATCGTATCAAGACCGTCTTGTCCGATTTCGTTTGATGAAAAGTTCGGTACCGGTTCCAATGTTAAACGAGTTAGAGTTTTGCTCACACGAGAGTACGGAACATCTATGTGATGGTAGGAGAGGTTAAGGAATGAGGGAAAAAGCTATGTTAGTGGTGAAAGGAGAGGCGGCGTCGGGTATATGATGGGTCGTAGGGCTGGCAGGTCTGTGGTGGGGGAGGAGAATAAGAAAGAGGGAGATTAGCGAACTGGGTGGCGGCGGCGGCGCACGCGGCAGGGTGTATTGATTTATGATTCCGGCCAACACAACAGGCAACCTGGTCAGGATACGTGCACAGGGTTGCAGGAACAGAGGTCGTAGAGAACTGAACGCCACCGGGGATTAATGGTCGTTGAACTTATTATTTAGCGGGGTATGGGGTTTTTTCAAAAAAATACCAGTGTGCATTTCTAACGGTACATATTCAAAGCGGAATATTCAGTTGTGCATATTTCATTGTCCAGCGATAAAAATAAAAATAATTTTATCATACACACATAATCGAGTCGACCGTTTGTTACGATATTATATAGGCACACAAATACATTATATTATACATTTATACGTCAAGCTAAAATAACCGTTAGAAATATTGTAGACTTTTTATTGGTACACCATGTTGCAAGTAAAGTTTTCAAAGTGAAAAAGTTTTTTAAACGCACCTATATAGATGTATAAACTATAAAGTACACACCACGTTTTCTTTATTATTAATACCCAGTGTAAGTAAACTATTAACCAAACTAAAATTGTTTCGGTTTTTAAATATAACACGAGCAATTAACAGCGAACTCAGTATTCATAAAAAAAGTATGATATAAAATTAGGTAAAACGTCAATTATTGAATAATAAAATCAATTAATAACCGCCATTCACAATATGTATTTGATACTAAAATAAAATAAGTTTCCAGTACTAAAAATTGTTAGCTCATTCTTAAAATATATAATAGATAGTAATTGAAAACGATTAAAATTTGTACCTGCGTATATTATAAAATAACACAACATTGAATATTGTTTTTATTATAGCAGTAACGGCTACTAAGAGGTAAATATATTTTACAACCGTTTGAGCTAGAGATTATATCTATATATTTTATACACAATTTATTTGGAAAAAAAACAAAGTACCTATTTATTGTTATAATATCGGAAACAATTAAGGCCAAGATGTTTTATGGGCAAATATTAATAGTTTTTTTTTCATGCATTCAACTATTTAAATATATAATCGGTACATGTCAACCAGCTCAATTACAGACAGACGACACGATGACGGTATATATTTATTATAATGTGTTTTTATTATAACCAAAAATGCAATACATGCGTGTATCGCGAATGTGTAGTTTAAATCATCCCTGCTGGTGAGTGGTTGTAGTGATGGGGGTGGTGGTAGTGGTGTATAATCGAGGAAGTTTATTGATTAATTTTTTTTTTTTTTTTGAAAGCTGTGTGTATATGATGGTGGTATCCTACGGCGTCCGGGAGCTCTTTTCGGTGGCGGGGTGATAGAGTTTCCATAGTCCCCGCCACTTGAAAATCCGGAACACCGAGGGACATACGCACATCCTGTACAAGCATTTCGCGTTTCATCGTCAACAAGAGACGCTGACATTTTGCACACACCCAAAAACCCCGTCGTCACGCGTTAAGAATATTATAGCATCGTGAACTTATTATTAGAACCATACGCACACATCCTCTATAACAAACCGAATTCGTTACTATCATTACTTATCATTTTTATTACTAATCGATTTTTATACCGCTAGACGGACTAGCACATGATTACTGCTACAACATAAAATCTTTAAAGGGACATAGTATAACAACAACAATAATAATAATAACAACAACAACAACAACAAAAACAACAACAGCAATAATAACAAAAATAATTATACATTAGGTTAAGCTTCTCTGTACAGATAACGAAAGAGAGAGAAAGAGAGAGAGATGAAAATGGGAAGGGGAACACGATTAAACAAAACGAAAGGTAATGAAGATATTATTATTCTCCGAGTGAGGATGATATAATGATAAATTATGTATATAGCGATGCGACGAAATATACATAATAATATTATTATATCGTATAAGAACGAGTCGCCACGTCTTGAGTACATGTCGAAATCCACAATATCAATTATGCGACGACTGAAATCGGTAATAAGGACGAATTGTGACAGTAAAATAGGAAACGGCGATGATGTAAATCGAAGGGATATTTGGTTTTTATAAATATCTCCTTTGACGATGAGCATAAAAAACAATGACTGAGGAACGTTATCCATCTCGTATTGCTAACAAATACTACAGATATTACAAGTGTTTTTTGAATCGTCCGCCTCTGGCTGTTCGATAACGAATCGTCAACAAGAGAAATAGCGTCGAAAGCGGACAAAATTTATGTTGTAGCGATATCGTAGCCGTATGACGTGTAAACGATAATAATTAGTGTGCGTGTGTGCCCGCCGTAGTAGTAGCCCCCAACTTGCGCCACGCCACGGCCAATGTGTTTACGCGCACGCGCACGACCGTGTCGGTCGATGCGGGCACACCACATTCGATCGCACGAAACATTTTTTAGGAACGCAATAATAATATTATAATAGGTGCAGAAGTACTATTATTATTATTTGGATGATAAAATAATATATTATTATGACTGTTGTGCATTAAACGCGATAAGAATTTTTAAAAAACGTTGAATTGTTCACCTATCAGATAGGTAGAGATATTTTTATTCGGCACGGAGTCGCGACTAGTCGGCTCGAAAACGGAAAGTCGGATTACATCATACGTCTAGTATCAAATCATTACGCTACAACCCACCTCTTCCAACCCACAACCACGATCGGGCAAGTTGATCCAACCCGTTTTGAAAAATAAAATGTACAAACGAAAGAAAAAAAATGGAACCCGTTTTGGAATTCTAGTCACACATATTATACACGATTTACACATAGGTACTCCCTTGTATACACTAATATCGAGAAATTAATAAATTGAAACACTTGATGTTGATTCTTTTTTTTTTTGACAAATCTACGATAACTCAGATTAATTACAGTATTTTTAAATACTTACCATAAAATAATACTAAAACTTTTCCTATTTACATGCATAAATAAATACTAAATAGTTTTCTATCTATAAATCTATCACATTTAATAAAATACAGAAGCATTACCATTGGCTTTTATAATAAATTTTGAAAACACTAAATTTTATTAAAACCTTTTTAAACAATACTTATATTTGTAAATTTATTTTTACTTCATAAATCATTATTTACAAAAAGTTTTCAATAACTGCATACAAAAATCAATATTTGAACAAATTAACAGTATTTTTTTTTTTAATAAAAATGTCTATTTTTTAGTAAATA